TTGTGACATAAGGCACCACTGTCATTTTAGAAATACCAGGGATGAGATCTGTTCTGAAGAGATAATATGCAAGAACCCTGTGTTCTACCCCAAAATTACAGCAGCCTAACAGCAGGTATGCTATGAATGATAAAATTTCCATAATGTAAGGTGAGGTATTTATGGTTGTGTTAGACTGCTAACATATAAACAACAACAGGTTTTACTCAGGAAATATTCAATTTCTGTGTAGATCTCCTGAACAGAAAGATATTTTTACAGTACAGGAAATGAGAAAGAAAGCGGTAATACAAGTGAGAACAGCAATCAGATCTATGATATGTTTAGTAAAAAAAACTGTACCAATATGCCTGGGGAGCTGTTGAGCAAGGCACACAGAAATACATGCCACAGCAAATCTACAGGCACTACAACAGTATGGAGGAACATGAACTACCTTCCAAAATGAGAAACCAGGTACTACAGGAATAGAAAAAAAATGGGGAGGCTGCAAGGAAAGAAAAAACAGCACTGAAGGGTGCAATTGAAGGGAAGACTGATATAACGATAAAATATTAGGAAAGCACTGATAAAAAAAAAAGTAAAAGGAACAGGTGGGATCTGGAATTGCTTTGGGGGAAGAAGAACAAGAGACCCTTGGCAGGCAGAGCTGAGAAACTCCTGGGGAGCCCCTGAACAGACTGGATTTGCTCTACTTGTGTGATTTCTTTCTGAGAGACAAGTGATGTCACAGATTATGCCACTGTGGATGACTTCAGTTCCCCAGGTACAGCTGGGGGAGAATATGATGCAAACATGAGGTCACAAGCTGGGTCCAAGGCCAATCTCAGAAGTCCAGTCAAAACCTCCGAAAAATGCCAAAGGCACAGCTGAGAGTAGCCTACAGGCACTCACGTACCTCAGGCTAGGACCACCCCAGTCTAATGGTCCTCCCAGGCCTACTGTCAGGAGTGGGGGTCCAGATGAGGTTGGTCATGGCAGTTGAGGCCTATTGAGTGCCCACAAGGCCCTCACACAAATAGCAATAAGACTTGTTCTTGACTAAGATTTGCTCAGCAAGAGACCCTTCATCAGTTCTTTTGTTTAGAGCCCAAAGACAATTTTTGATGAAGGACTAGTTCAGTAATGAAACTAAAAAGACGTATCTCCAGAAACCAGACAGATTCCTCCTAAAAAGCGCGACACTGTCTTTTATTCAACTCTAGCTTTTGCATTTAGATACACATCTGAATTTTGTTTATAAAAGCTTTTTCTTCACACATTTTCATAGCAATTTTCATGTAAATTCTGTACTTCAAAGTAAAGTTTTACTCTGGTATTTTGAACTAGGATTTTTATATTTTTTTTAATGTGTAAAAAAAAGACAGGAAGTTGTCTGGTCACTCTCACTTACCCAATAATGCATATATGAAAAGGTCAATCTGAGGGAGAAGTGAAATTTGCATTTGACAATGCTATCGCTTTTCCCTCTAACCAGCACCCTTACTGATGCCTTTCATCAGCACGGACCCGTGCCATGGCTTGCCAGACCTGCACTGATCATGAGTTCAGAGCAGGTGTAGGGAGAATTTCCTGTCATTGGCACTTAGGTCAGTAATGCAGCTTACTCGTGCAACTTCCACAGGGACCCTCCGTCCACAAGAACATTCTTGGACTAAACCCTCCCTCTCACAGCTCCAAATATTTCTGCTGTCTGGCTGAAGGATGAGGAGTATAATGTACAGAGATCCTGTGTCTGTTGGAAATAATTGCTACATCAGAAGAATGAAGAGACTAATCTAGCCCCTCACCTAAACCACTCCATTGTTCTTGCCCATCAGCTTCTTTCTTACTCCTCTATCCTACAAACAATAGCTCACAAAAAGTGAGGAAGACAAAAGCAACTAGATTCCCAACTTACTTGCCAGTACAGTTGCAAAGGGTGCCAGAAATAAGCCAGAAGTATTAATGAAATGTATTCCCATGCCCCTAAAATCAAGTTTGCATCCAGAAGCACTGTGCAGTTAGAGTAATTGTTCTGGCAACTTCTACATGCCAAGTAAGCCCAAATGGAGGCAGCGTCAGGTACTCCACTGCCCCTCATAGCAGCTGCGCTTGGCCTCAGTATCTTCTGTCAACTAACTTCAACTTGCTTTCCCTAAGCCCTGCACAGGGCACTGCTGCAGACTTCAATAGGCCTCAGGCTGCTTAAAAATACGTCACTGTTGATACCAGCATTCAGCCACTGTTTTGGCCTGGACCAACCAGTTGTGGCAGAGACCAGGATGGTATGAGAAGCAAGCAAAAGACGGAAGCAAGGAAGAGGAAGACAAAAAAAAATATAACATGTCATAGATATAAGAGTATGTGTCCTTATCTACACATGGCAATGGCTTAACTTCATAGACTGTCTTTTGATAAGCTAACCAGAATGAGATCTTTAACTCCCTATTGCTAACACTATCAAAAGTATATCTCATAAAGCATTAAGGAGCCATTTGCTCTTAAAGCTGACACAAAAGGATTTGTTTGCACATGTTCAACATTACTGACCTTACAAGTTGCATTTTAAAAGAGTGACAAAAGCTTTGCAGGGAAAAGACTGATAGTACACGTTGTGCTTAAAGAAAACTGATGGGTGCTTTGGATATATCTGTTGTCTTTTAGCAGTAATTACAAGCCCAACTCATTGGCCAAGATCCTATAATGCCCAGTGCTGTTTAGGCGTCAACTAAAAAGATTACATCTCGTCTAAAGAACAAACAAGAAGTGTATTCAGAGAATGCTGGAGAGAAGGCGGAAAAGCCCGTATGCTTTTGTAAATATCTCAGGTACACCACAGGCTTCATAAGTTTACATTTTAGCCTTTGTTAGTCCAAAAAGAAATTTAACAGAAAGAATAAAAAAAAAAAAAATCAAAGGAAATTATAATGGGCTAGAGTCTGTGGAAGGAAAGAACTTTTCACCTCGGCAGCTGAGCATAACAGTGGAACAAAACCAGATGATGTCAACAGAAGGACATCTTCTTGCTGTATTTGTCATAATGCAGCTTTTTATTAGTGATTAGACAGTCAATTAAGGGCTGTGTCCCTGTCTGCCATTCTCCTGACACTGAACTGATGTTCATGTTTCCACCTGCAGGTGTAAGAATGACCCTTCTTCCTCTGCACTTCACACCTGAATCTTGGGGAAGTTTATTCCCAAAAGGCTGACTGCCAATCAGCCTTTCCCAGTATTTAAAAATTTTTAAAAATATCAAAGTTGGGATTATTCCTTTCAAGTTTGGGGTTTTTTTAAAGTTACATATTTCTTTCACGTGTTCTTTGCATTACATTATTTTCAATTCATATGTTGTATCCCATGATTAACATCTTCAGCAAAGCTCTATTTAAAAAACAGGTCTTTGAAGTAGTTTCTATTGACTCTTACAGTTCTCAACTCATGTTTGAGACAACGCTTCCTACAGTAATGAATACATATGTAATTTGTGTAAGTCGATGTGTTTAGATTATCATATAGTATAGCGAAACAAATAACTGATTAAGTGGTAGTTCAGCCCAGAAAGATAACATTCAGACAAGTGTTAGGTAAAATATACTAATATACCATATGAATATACACTAAAAATTGGAAGATAAAAGAGACATCCACTACTTCTCACATTTCTTTAGTATTTATTCTTCCATTTATTTGCTAGCCTTATTGACAGTGTGAAGAAAAGAAACTGTGTTTTAGAGAGTTACCCCTGTTTATTTTGTAAGGAATCTAGTACCTGGCAATTCCAGAGCTGTGCAATCAGATAACCCTTAACAGTTTGGAAACTGTGTATTGAAAGAAGATTACCTGCATGCTGCCTCAGCTAAGTCACCACACATAGTACAGGGAGTCACCAAGGTCAGTCATTTTCCTGGTTCTTGCAGCAAACCAAACACAGCCTTACACAATGTGTAAGAAATTTACCTGCTTGTCATAACCTCCAACAGAGGTCTTGTAACAGAAATAGAAGTACAGAAGAGGACAAATGAGGTGTAATATTCACATTTATCCTGTTTCTCAGTTATTTGAATTGCTTGCCCACTGGCACACTGAACTGTATGCAGATTTGCTCAGGTGTGGAGTTGAGTTGGTCCCTGTGCCTTATGTCATATTTGCATGTGAGCAGGGCTTGCAAGACCAGCAGTTTCACAGTATGGGTTAGAGCTTCACTGGGATCCAGAGGGGGCTGTGCAGTGTTAGAGCCACTGGGACTACTGCACACATCCTCCCCTGGGCCAGCAGATTTTCTCCCTCAAGGACTAAGAACAAATACTGCTCTTTTCTACGATCTCTCAAAACTCTAACTCCAGAACGCTTGTTTCTTGAAGAATAGCTGGAGATGCACATAGATGCTTTACGCACCTAAATTCTCTCCTGCCGCATCTGAGCAGCATTAGCGCCCTTCTGCAGAGAACACCTTAATTCGAGTTCTTAAAAGTAGTCCCTGTATTCCCCTGATGTCTGAACATCCTTAGTGAAAGGAAGTAATCCTGCTATGTGCCTGACAATTAAAGTCATAATTTAACTGGATGTTTTATGACAAGGAAAAAAATGCTTCTGAATGCAGTATAAACTGTTCAAAAGAAATAGAATAGAGAAGACACTAACTTTAGAATAGTATTGGTCTGACGGCAAATACCCACTTTTATTGTGTTTTTAACTAATACCACCCATGAACACAAATATAAGCTGTACTGCAATTGAAGATGGTATCCTCAACAACCAGAATGAAGATAAGGTGGATACACTACTAGGGGAAGTCAGACAGAAGCAGTATCCCTTAACCGGTCAATTAAAATAGCTGGAAAAACTACACAAACCTTGGGCATGCATGTTTGTCTGAAGGAGGACCTATATCACAGAAGGCTTATCTAGGCTTTCTAACTAGGCTAATCTCCTGGAAGAGACTAACTCGAATTTCCAACTGTGGCTACTTACATCCCTCATCCAGTTGCTCCTGAGCCTTTTTTTTAATCACTTTTCTTCTAAGAGCCTAATCTCAATGTTGCAAACTTTTTGGGACATAATATTTTCATGAAAGCCATTCGAAATTTAACATGACAGAGAGAATAGAGAAATGGATTCAGAGAGGAATTGATCCACAAAAGCCAAAAGGTTATTTCATACAAGGAGTTATGAACACAAGTCCCTTTGCAGGCCCCACGGATAATCATTAGTAAAGTGTATGGGGCCCAGCAAATGGCGAACACACACACAATTATGGCAAGCGACTTTGCAATTTTCTTGTCCTGCTGCAGTTTTGACCCGGTCCTTGCACAGAAAGAAACAGAGAAGTCATTTGCTGGGGTTAGAGAACTGCCTCTGGATGGAGATGAGCTCTCAGTTACCAAAGACTCTTTCTTTGGCCTTGTGGAGGAAGAAACACTGTCCTCTGCTTCCGATGGAGGAGAAAATGGTCCGAGCCTCAGCGAGAGGCAAAATCTCCAGGACAGGCTGTCTCTCCTTGGAAGCTCACAGTCCTGCATGCTGCCATGCCGCTGGCGCCTCTGGATGTTGTGGAAGATGTGCACGTTGAAGTAGGTCACCGAGAGCAGAGGCACGAAGAACTCCAGCGTGGACGCACACAGGAGGAAGTACCAGTTGTCAAAGAACTCAGCGTAGCACTGGTCCACCGCTACCACGCTGTGTCCGGCCACGTGGTCCCAAAAGAGGATTGCTGGGCAGTAGAGGAGGAAGGCAAAGACCCAGACTGCCACCATCTTGATGACAGGGTTGGACGCTATTCCCTGCTGGGCTCTGTAAGATACCTGTGAAGGAAAAAAAGGAAGAGGTCACTCCTGTAGAGACAGGTTTTGGAACCAACAGAAATAGCAGGAGAGCAATTTTAGCAGAGTGCTTGGTAATTTAGGGCTGCGACTATACTGATCAGCTGAAGCTCACCCAGGTTTGCTGGATTCATTGATGTTGACATAACGTAGGGGTGTCTCTCTACAGGTTAATGTAACTGTGCTAGGGTCCTGGTCCATGGATGAAACATGATTATCCATCACTACCTAGTAATTGGTATGCCTTGTTTGAGACTTCTGTGGTCTGAAGTGCCAGAGTCATAAACATTTTATAGTTGTTCAGAGCATGACTCCCATCCACTGACAACTGTAGTGCTTTTTACAGCATTTTACAAGCAAATAGGACTATGTGCGTCACAGTGCTCAACAGAAAATGTGGCACATACATTTAACACCCACCTTTGAGAAAATTGTTTATTGCATACTTCATAAGGAGGTAGGAGTGGATTCCAGCTCTGCAATGCAGCCTTTAGCTGATGAAACATTCTCCCCTACTCCAGGGTCAGTACATTTTTTCCACTATATGTTGCAGAACAGACATTTATCTTGTAGCTGACATCCTGTTCCACCCCTTTCACAGGATGACAGGCTGAATGTGTGATTCTGGGAGCTTAGCCATCCAGTTGAAAAAAAAAAGTATGAGTTAATGTCAGTAAAGACTATCATATGAATGTCCATCGGTCTTAATTACGTTTGCACAACTGGTGTGAATTTTGCACTTTGTAAATGCTGAGTCTTTGGATTTCCAGTGTAATGTTTCTTATGTGGAAAATGTTTTAGTGTTTTATTTCCCAGATTTTTTTTCCTTTAAATAAAATAACATAAAATTAAAAAAATGTAATAAAAGACAGGTATAACATGTAAAATTAATTATAATTAACAAAAATAAAAAATAAAACTGAAAATCTATCATATGACATTATCTTGACATTCTCATACACCACCAAAGAGCTGGAACCTTTAGCTGTCCCTGACATTTCCCTGCCACTTGAGCTAACAGAGTGAGTACTGACAAATTCTGGTCTCCACCCTTAGCATGAACCAAGACATAAAGCACATGTATGGTGGATAGGATGCTCTGCAGAGAGCAGAGACATAGAGTTTGTTGTCACGTGTCCACAGGCAGTCTCTGCAGTCTGCCCCTTGTTCCACTCTCTGCCCCATTTGCTCTTGCTCCCAATCTTCTCCAAGAACATCTGGGGCCATAACTCAGGCCTAGACATCCTTCCCCGGTGTCCTTCATCTCACTGCCCTAACCCAACTGCGTTTTCCTCCCGTGCCTGATTTTAGGTCCAAACTCAAATCCAATTTATTTTGAATTTCCTCTTTCCTTGACCCCTTTTATCAGCCTCCTGCCTTAACCTTTGCACCCCTCAGCCTGCTTTCCCTCAAGCAGTAGCACAACAGCAACCTGCAGTAGAAATTGTGAGAAAAGTCCTGTTCGACCAGCTCTGTGCTGGAACATGCTCAGTGCAGAATATTCACCACATCTAGCTACAAATAACTAATAATCTCCACATGCCGTCACATTTTTGAGAGCTATTATCTCAATTAAATTTGGGCTTGCACTCACCAACATGACAAAGGTTGGTGAGCATAAGCCACCAATGATCTTGTGACAAAATCAGAGAAGTTATAAATAAGGTACTTACAGCTTTAGTCACTGACAGGAAACGGTCATAGCTGATAAGAACAATGTTAAACACTGAAGCTGTGCACAGGAGGTAGTCCAGAGACAGCCAGAGTTTGCAGATGCCTCTTCCCAAGTGCCATTTCCCTGTCAGGCTGTAAGGGATGTAGAGAGGCATGCAGAAGGCACCTATGGAAAGCAACCACAGAGACGCCATGCAGATCAGATGGACTGCAAACAGTATTCCTGGAAGCAGAGAGAGACACTAGTCTGGTGTTTGGCCAAAAAATAAATAAATCTATAAAGGTGAATATGTAATTTATATGCTGAAAATCTTACGTTCTCATGAAATCTGACAGTGACTTCATATGTACTAGGTCTTAGTGTGTTTGGGTATGCTGATTGTTGGGAATAAGCTCAGGGCAAATCAGCAAAGAAGGATCTGCTTACGAAGAAAACTGCAGTGTAACCAACTTATAGTTTCTAAAGACATATAATCAGTACTGCAGCATAAACGCACTGTGGTTGCGCTGTGATATGTAACCTCATTGCTGCTTGTCCTCTAGTCTTTTATCTGTGTTAGAGTTTTCCCCCAAACACATCTACAGATGCCGCTAATGTCGGTTATTAACTTAAGATTGGTTAGCATTTGTAAGCCAAAGACAATATATTGGACAGTCTGTGTGGTATCTGGAAACCTCTTCTACCAAAGGTAGAGCAGTCACAGCAGAGGTATGAAACCCTCTCCCACTTTTAAGAGGTGTTTTAATCTCATGTTGGTTCTCCAGCTGAGATTAACTCCAAGACTATTTTTGTTCCGTTACATTTGGTTTTTTTCTCCAAAAGGCCTTTCCAGAGAAGAAAGTCATGTTTGTGTTTTGTTTTTAAGACAGCAACTTCTTCATTTTACCACTAATATTATTTCAAAAGTATGGTGCAATATCTTATTCCTGAAAACAATGATCCACTAGAGACAAATATAAAACTATATACAGCTTCAAGATCCATTTTACACTCTTTAGATTATTATTTTCAATATGTCCACCAAGATATTAGATGTTACTGAACATATCCAGGCTGATGCGGCCCACCGACAATAATCCTCTGGGCAATGAGCTGACAGACTGTTATCAACAGGCAAACGCGCACAGTCCTTTGAATACTGATGGCCTGTTTTAACATATACCTTAAATACAAGCAGCATCACTTTTGTACAAAATACCCATTTTTCAGAGCTGCTGGTGACAGCTACTGCTCTTATCAACTTTAACGGGATCAATGTTTGGCACCATGTCAAAAAGTAATGACTGCTTTTAGCTATAGATATAAATACAGACACAAGAACCAGGTTTTAAGCATTTATATTTGAAACTATTCCCACTTTTACTAATTAGAGGTTGCAAAAGACATGAGTCACATGCCTGGAAAGATTCCAGACTTCTAAGAAATTTTAAAAATACCACAGCAGTTTCAGAAAATAAAGCATTTCGGAGACAAAGTCCTAGATTTACATGGTATATAGGTCAATATCATACTGATACCAATCATTTCCTCTTGGTTGATTTAAGACTCCATGAGACACCAGCCACAAACAAGAACTGGTGTAGAAGACAGATATTTAAATCTCTTGATTGAACTGCAAGATACGAGGAGAAACAGACTTTTGCAGAAGACCTGAGCAGCTCTAGCAAATTGTCTGCCTGGAGCAGGAAAGCAAAGGCTCTAGCACGTGTATCGTTTGGTTTTCACCCCATGGGGCGAGTCGCAGAATGAGGCACCACAGGTTATAAATGACACAAATGAAGGAAAATCTTAAAGGTTAAATTAATACACTTCACTACACGGCACTGACAAAGGAACAGCAGTTAGGAGGGATGGTATTGCCAGAAGTAGAGTAGGTCGATGAGTGCTATTTCCCTCCTCATGATTTAGTGAATACTGCTCTCTGTGACTGTCCTGAAGAGACAGCACTTGTGTGCAGAAATACCTTCTTGCTAGCCTCAGGTCAAGATGTTTGCTGGAACATATTCCACAGGACCATGGTTTTGTCTGCCACATGGGCTGTTTCCCTGGCCTGAACCCTGAAGGACTGTTGCACAAGGCATTCATGCCTCCCACCTTCTCGCCTGTCATCACCCACTGGGACCGGATCCATGTCACCTCCAGGGACCAACTCTCCTGGACTTCTGCAATGACACTATGGGAAGAGGGGACTAATAAAGAAAACAGATTGGACATGCCAGCAGGCTGTTGCTGGCATCAGGCAAGCCATCTGATCTATAGCCTGTGTTGAGTGGAAGCCAGTAAAAAGTCATAGTGTTAACATTATGGCTTTTTGTAGTGTAGTACACTCATAAGCCATTAGTATTATGCAGAGAACTAATTAATTTACCTGGACGTACCATAGATAGCTGTATAAGAAAACAGTTACATTGTCAAATATGAGGACGTTCTGAAGAGTGTGATCTTACAGCAGGAGCAAACGTAAATCCTAAACTAGCAAAAAATCTCTTTCCTTCAGTTGGTATTCACTTTTTCCTCAAGCAACATTTAAAGTATTTATATGAAAATTTGACATTATAACATATTTTGAGACATAACAGGCAACTAAAACACTTAATGCAGTCTCCCCCATTCCTTACCCTTCCCTGGAGACACAGCTGGGAAATAGTTCTCTTAGAAGAAACCACCCAGCAAAAGAAGCCCACTTGCTTCTCCTGAGATTCCTAGCAAACAAGTAGTGCCTCCACGGCTGCAACTTACCCACTGCAAAGTCAGAAATGGCGAGATTGAGAAAGAAATAGTTACTCCGATGCCTGAGGTTTCTGTCCATGATGAAAGCAAGGATCACCAGGACGTTTCCGAGGATGGTGACCAGAGCTAGCAACACCATGAGGAAAGCCAGCAGCACCATCACGCCCAGTGAAAACTCGGAGCTCGGTGACTGTGTGGACAAAGTCTCGTTGCGTGCTCCAGCCATATGCGGAGTTTCGGCAGTGCTGTTGTGCATGTTGCGGATCCAGGTCAGTTCAGTCTGGGAAAAAATTCGCATCTGGCGGAGTTATCCAAAAGGTTGAGACAAGTCTGTTAACAGGATGGGCTGAATAGTGACACATCCAAAATATTTCACAAAATCAAAATAATGGATCACAAGATTTCAAGGCCTGGAGTCTCTAACGTTCCTTGATTTGAACGCACCTATTGGCCTGAAAACAAAATCTATAAAAAAGACACCTCATAAGCAGCAGTAAGTGCACACATTAAAGCAAATTATCTCTTTCTCTCCTGAACACTGATCCTTATCTGTTGAGGTCAGAAAAGTCAGTCTGAAAACAACCCTTTTCACAGTCAAGCATTTTGCATATTAGCATTGTGTAAGCATTTTTACACATTCAATTCTGCTGAAGCTAAAACCAGATCTCATTTTCACTTCCCCAGTGGTGAACAGGATTTAAATTATTACAATTCTATTTCTCTTACAGTAAAATGTGGGCACTGTTGCACTTGCTGCTGTACCACTTACTAAATTGTACAGTTAAATCAGAGATGTATGTTTCTTAATGCTGTTGGTTACAGAGCATTCAAAATTCAGTTACACACTGCAGAAGTATCAACAATACCTTTTCAGCTCATCCTGATTAGAAGCAAGTCTAGCCCTGGGCACAGCAAACCAAATACATCGACTTTGGAGGACTTAGAAGTGTGAGGCATCTAATCCTCCTCTTCCCAAGTAATTCCCAGGTAAGCTCCCACTCCACAAAGTGCCAAACCCTTAACCCTCTGCAGATGTGAGAAGGCATATCCCTTCCTCACCGCCATTTCACTTATTTTGTTAAGAGCGCACAGAGGTTGGCAGGCAGTGGCTGTGACTCATGCCTGCAGCTCATCAGCTCCATAGGACCGTGGCACTCCCTGTGACTGTCTTTTTGGACTGCGGCCACCGTGCTTGAGAGATGTAGGACAATAAACAAGGAAAGAGGTGACGGACAAGATGTGGGGAGGAGAGGTGCAGTGCTCTGATCCTGTCTTGGGGAACAAAGGGAAATATATTCTAAGGAGTCATTAATGCAAAAGGTGTAGGGCAACAGGAACAGAAGAGACCTCAGGAATGATGAAATGTGACAGACACCTCCCTCGGGTGCATGTGCACAAATGCAGTCTGGAGCCCATGTTCCTCCAATGCACAAGAGGAACCAGAGCTCCCTGTGCAGTCACAAGGCCACCAGGCTGTTGGAATAACAGAGGTGGCGGGAGAGCTTGGGCAACTGGAGGACTGCAATGAGCAGAGACAAGCTTGTCAGCAAAGACAGGCAGGGGAGATGAGGAGCGAAGATTGCCTGCCACGTGCAGAAGCAGGTTGAATGTATGGAGCTCTTCTAAGGGGTAGACAGTCTGGTTGCAAATTTGTGAGTCAGGGTCAGAGGAGAGGCCAGTGACATGGGTGACATAGTGGTGAGAGCGTGTTGTAAAACACACCAAGTAGGGTAAGGGAGTTGATGAAGTCTTCATTAAGCAAATCAAGGAAGCCTCTGGCTCACAGCCCCTGATTCTTGTGTAGGAATTCTTGACATCTGCTGGAAGGGCAATGCAGCAGGTACAAGCAATCAACAAGACTCCTGGAGGGCATCAGGGACAACTTTCTGATACAAATACCAAATGGGCCAACGAGGGTGACACACAGCTAGATCAGCTGCTCACTGGTAAAGAGGAACCAGGTAGGGATGTGTAATCAATGGCAGCCTTGGCTATAATGACCATGAGGTGGTGGTGTTCAAGATCCTAAAAGTGATGAGGAAGGAGAGTGCCAGAGTACAGACCACACACTTCAGGTGAGCATACTTGTGTTTATTCAGGAAAGTGGTAGGTGGGATCTCATGGCAGGCAGCTCTGAAGTTGTCCTGGTTTGAGGTAAAACAGAACCAATTTTGGTCAGTAACTTCGCTTCTTAGCTGGGCCTCTCTAACAACTGAAATTAACAGCATATTGTGCAGACAATGTTCACTCTCTCAG